GTAGGGGTTGGACTAGATGAATGGACCAGTTTTATATTTCATACTTGTGTGAATCCAGTTCTGGCCCTGGGGAAACTCAGCCGGGGCGATGTAGCGGATGAACTAAGAGCGGAGAGACCCGGGTTGGGAAGTTTCTTGGTGACTTTGGGCCAGCCCAACCTACCTCACAGGGTTGTTGTGCGGGAAAAGCAGGAGGAGGGGGCCCTCTGTACAGAAAAACTGGGATAAAAATCTAATAAAGATTCTCCTTTCTCCCGGTGGGGTATCAACAGAACTTTGGTATGACGTTGCTGCGTTCACACAGCACACTAGCTTAAACTACGGCTAGCTATTTTTGGGGTTGCCCCCAAATTGCAGTTCTTGCTGTCTCCTAAATAATAAATCCACGGTTTCGGGCTGTGATGACTGAATGTGTAGTTTTCTGCTTTGGCACAAAACAGCGAACCACGAAGTCGCAAACCGGCTGAGCTAGAACTCCCCCAACCTAATCCTGGTTAAATCCAAGCTAGCTTGGCATGTTGTGCGAAGGCAGCTGCAAGATCTTCCAGAAGAAACCGGTTAAGGGAACGAAGCACCTCCAAAGCACGTTTCCAGTGGATCGAACCCACTGGGTTCCTTTAGAGAAGGGCCCCCAAACCTGCTTGCAAAACTCAAATGAACAGCCAAGTCGCTCAAAAAATTCAGTTTTCCAGCCACCTTGTGAGAAACTGGAGATTTACAGCCCAAACCTGCTTTGATTTGATTCAACCCCAAAGCTCACCAAAATCAGGGAGCGCTTTGCGGCTCCCACTACCTCGATTCGTCCAATTCTTCCCGCTACTCTGGGCGCCAGGTTGCAGACCCAGCGGAGCCCCGGGCATTTGTAGGGAAAGAGCGCCCTCTGCTGGCTGCGTTGCAGACATTTCTGCTCGGCGGAGCGGCGGAAAGGCTCCCTCTGCCGGCGGCGTCCGAGGCGTCCGAAAGGCTAGATGTGAATGGGCGAAAGGACGTTCTGCGGGACTTGCCAGATCCCCCCTCCACGGCCAGCCTGAATCAGCGGCGGGGACGTCGTCGGGATCCTTTTAAGGCAGCTTGGTCGCTTCTCTCTCCAGCTCCACCAGGGGGCAGTCTTCTCCTTCGCGTTTTTCCATGCACAATTTCCAGCTCCAGCCACCAGAGGGCAGGCGATGCCGCCTTTCCTTTCACCTCTCCACGTGCAGCGGCCGATCTCAGCCGCTAGGGGGCGGTTTGTTTTCAACGGTCCAGCTCTTGCCTTTAATCCCTAGATATGCTTGGCCTGCCCTAGTGCAGCGGCCAGCCCAAGTCCTGGGGCGGGGGGGGGGGGGAGAATCCATTTAAATATTTACCTTTTGCCTTTTTTCCCTGTCCAGGTACCACCCTGAACCACTAGAGGGCAGACTT